TAAGTTAAACCAGATAAACAGTTTGTGAACATGAATGGGGAGAGCCAGAAGATACTGTTCAACCAGACTACTCCTCCTTCATGCCCTCACTACCAGATACACTAATTACTCCTCTGTTGTTGCTCAGCTACAGATGTAATAGCTTTTACTTACAAAACAGGGCAGCAAAAGCAAAAATTAAACACAGATAAAATAATGGATAGGGAAGAAAGACTTTTTCTGCTATCTTTCAATTTTTTACTCCTACATGTTTTTTGCTACATGTCCACCTACCTTCCCTTCCAAAGTAATAGCTTACAGCGGAAAAACTTGGAAAGGAAGAACCAGGTGAGCCAGAAAAAGCCTGTATTTCAGTAACGGCTACGATTTAGGAGAATGTCTTGTCTTATCTATATTATGGACCCTGTCAATAGAGTATAGAGATATTAATAATGTCTTGTTCTCTTGAACCAAGAAACTAGTCATCAGCTTATATTGTCCACCTTTTCTGGGAATATTTATTTTCCCATACTAATCCAAACATTCCTCTCCTCAACAGTTCTATTCAAAACATATGAGAACAGGAAAAATATTATCAGACTGGTTTAAAACTAGCCTTAAGAGAAATATATAATTACCATGTTCATCTGACATACTTAACCAGGTTATGGATAGGCCATGTCATTTTCAATATGACATGAGAATATCTAAATCCAATAGGTGTTGAGTGAAGATGTATGTGAAACAGAACAAGCTTTGATTTAGATTAATGTGCACTCCTCCAGAAGTCAAAAGTGGGGCAACTGCCCATGCTCTTTGCTTAGAAAAAGAGTTACAAAGTGTCTAGGGAGATTCTTAGTCATCTAGGACATAGTTATCCCAAAGATGCTTTTTCACCTCCTATGATGTGACTTCCCTCTTCACCTGCATTCCAACAACTGAAGCTGTCACGGTATTGAAGAAATGACTGCCACAAGACAACACCTTAGCCCAGACTACATATGTGCCATGCTGACCACCTCTGCCTGACCACTATCTATTTTAAATATAATGAAGGTTTCTACAGACAGAAATAAGGCTGCGCCATGGGTTCACTTGTGCCCTCCACTGTGGCCAATTTCTACATGAAAGAGGTAGAAACCAAAGCCCTAAACCCTTTCACAGGAATTTCACTCACCCACTAGTATAGGTATGTGGACAATATTGGGTCAAGATCAAAACACAGGAATTGGAAGGGTTTACCAAACACATCAAGTCTGTGGACAGATACATCAAATTCTCATGGGAAGATGTTAAGGAAAATAGTCTAGCCTTCCTGGACTGTACACTACACATTAAGGAGCAGAAGCCTTAACACTGAAGTTTACAGAACCCCTGTACACACGGATCAAATTTACACTTTGATTCTAACCACCCACCGAAGTACAAAATGGGAGTCATCAGAACCCTACACCACAGAGTTGAAGGTCTGCCTACCAACAAAGATGGGGAAAAAAATTAAATCACATCAAGGAAGCCCTCAGAACGTGTGGCTATCCCAGGTGGACCTCATCAAGTCCCAAAAAAGACCCAGCAGGAGCTCCTCCATAATAGACACAGAAGAAAACAATAAAGGAAGGAATGTTGTCATTCCATGCGTTGCAGGAATATCAGAAAAGCTCAGGAGGATCTTCAACCAACACAATATATGTGCACACTTCAAACCCACAAATACACCAAGGCAGAAGCTTGTCCACCCCAAGGATAAAACACCCAGACACAAACTGAGCAACATGGTATATGCAGTACAACGCAGTGAGCCATGTGCAGATCTGTACATTGGGGAAACAAAACAACCACTTCATAAATGCATGGCACAACATAGAAGAACAACCTATCAGGACAAGATTCAGTAGTTGATCTGAATTTAAAAGATAAGGGCCACTCTTTCGAAGACAGCAAAGTCCACATTTTGGACAAAGAAGACCGCTGGTTTGAAAGAAGGGTCAAAGAGGCCATCTATGTCAAAATTGAACAGCCCTCTCTCCACAGAGGGGGAGGGATACAACATCATCCATGTTCAGTCTACAACACAATCTTTTCAGCAGTTCCAAGAAGGCTGCACACCCATTTGCATTACTCAGGTGACCCTGACAACACAGATAAACCTCCAGGTGGCCTCAACAACTCTCTAAAGAATGCAAATGGCCAGCTGTCTGCAAGGAGTATAAATCCTTCTATTCCCCACCATCCAATCAAAGCTGAAGAAGCTTCTTGGATGAGAAGCGAAGCTTCTTTGAAAACAACAACAACAAAGTCCAATTGCCTTGTGAAAAAGCATCTTTGGGAGAGTTACAAAGTGATTGGAAAAGACAGAGTTGTACCAGCCAGTAACTATGCTGCCTAATACCAAATGGCTGCAGGGATTAACAAACGACTTCTCTTGTCAAAGTGTCTGCAGACACTCCTTGTAAGAACTTACAAACATCAATGATTCCAAATGAGAACATATCCTGAGCAAAACATCTCACTCTTAAATTCTCAAAAAAAAAAAAAATGATAAAAACTACGTTTTATGTTGAATGATTTTGAAATATGCACAAATAAACACAACAATGAAGAATATGAACTTTGTTTATTCCACTGAATGAACTAAAACTAGTTTGGAAGCAGTTTTTTATCCATAACACTGCAAAATACTCCACTTTCTATATGAAAAATAGACAAATAATAACAGTACATTAATTTTCTGAAACAGTAAGGGAATTACAACTATATCAAAATCTAATCATGTGGCTTTAAATGCCTGTAGATGAAAACTAGCAAGATATCCTAAAAAGAGTCAAAATGAATCCAAATCAGAATCAGAATGAAAATCAGAGCTAAATATTCTGGGTAAGGGAACACATATAGCTTAAATTTTGAAGCAATAAAATCAAGACAGTTAATTGAAAATTAAAGGAAGAATTTGAAGTTCATATCTAGTTGCTTGATATTTAGGTATAACTTGTAAAATTCTGTATCTAGCAGATGCAAACAAAAGTGTCATGAATGGATAATAAGATATTACATAAAAAAAATATGCAAATGTTGAGCGAAATGTACTACAAAGTAGATAATATACCACCAATATTTTAATTTAATTTAAATTTATTTCATTTAGGTGCCACTCAACTCCAAATGACTCTAGGCAACTCACGATGTAACCAAAAGATAAAATATAATAATTCAAAAGCAAATCAACAAAACAAATAAGTAAGAAGCAGCTAAAGAATAAGATAGTGAGTCCAGCCAATAAGAAAATTCAAAAAATTCTATCCTTTCATGCCCATTAAACTGATGGGCAGCATCAAAACTTGTTACTACAACATACAAGTCCAAGTCTTGCTGAGAAAGAATAATTCTGGCCTCTGATTTCTTTTTCCATTTCTTTGAATAGTTGTTTTATAGGGATATTTTCTTAGAGAGGTAATAGACAGGTAAACTCTCACTTGCCAAACTTATCTTTGTGACCATACCCTGCTGGTCAGGCTCCCCAGTTGCTAAGCACACTGCAGGTTCTCTTTTACAGATATTTGAATCATAAAAGATGGACAGCTGGAGAAGAAGCTGGAGAGTTATGAGTTCATCCCTACCATCTTACTCCATCCAGTTTTAAGAATTTGGAATGGAATATCCAACCTACCTAAGCCATCAGTTCTATCACAGAAGCAATCTGGCACAATTTAAAGGCCTAAAAGCTTTCAGTGCTCTCTCTTACAAAAAGCCTAAAATAAACAACCACCAACAGAGACCAGATCAATTTATGGAAGATTAAAAAATATATTTTTCCCATAATAAAAAAGCAAATGCTGGGATGTACTCAAGATCTGTACTAGCATTTTATTTCTTTACACATAAAGTCTTAAAGTATGCAGAAGACATCAAGTTATCAAATGTTCAAACCCAGCATTAAAGCCAATGTGTCTCTTTCTCACTCACATAAATGTAGATAGCAGGCTACAAACAGAGTAAAAGAAAGTATTTACAATATAAAGGTAAAACATCTGTCAAACCTAACTCTTCATGGACAGGTCTATGTTGTTTGGTTTGACATTTGGCTTCTTTCATCTCCCATTAAACCGACAGCTATACTATTTCCTACAGGTCTTCCATCCAAGAATTAACAAGGTTTGACCCAGTTTCTGGGTTCTGGCAAGGCCAGCCAGGTGCTGCCACCTGCTAAAACTATTTGTATATTAAAAATAGATAGAAGAGCCAAGGATAAGGGGTTCCCTGTGTTCCCACTGTGTTTCCAAATTTTATGGAAATGTGACATAAAGTGGAGCCTATGATGATTAAAGCACAAGGGGATTACCACGGGGAAAAGGCAGCTGAAGGGAAGATGGGGGGCTAAAGTAAGTAAGAATGCACTTGTTTTCCCAAGATTTTAAACACCTAGTTTCCTATAGTTACCTGCAAAACTCAAAATAAGCACATTCTGCATTCACAATCCCTAAATATAAAGACTGTTAAAACATGAATGCCATCATATTTCATTGTTCAAGTCATGCATATAAACTAGGGGTCTTCGAACTTGACCCTTTTATGGCTTGTGGACTTCAACTCCCAGAATTCCTCAGCCAGCATGTCTGGCTGAGGAATTCTGGGTGTTGAAGTCCACAAGTCATAAAAGGGCCAAGTTTGAAGACCCCTGATATAAACCAAGCCATTTAAATCATTATTAAATTTAAGTTTCCTATTTAACCTCAACATGTGATTAAAGTTACAATCCTTAACATACTGATCTGTAATTAAGCATTACTGAACTCAATAAATTTTCTGATGGACACAGAACTGCATTCGGACAAGCTATTTGTTAAATTTGGCTGCCAACCTGATCAATGAATATCTTATTCATTCCCAGAGCTTTTTCTGATTTTTCAAGATTGTCCCATCATTCTGACTCTCAGAACTTACAGAATGGTAGGACAATTGCTATACATTAGCAACGTGTGTCAGAGGCTTAGCAACCACAGTATAAGGATCTTTATTCACTTTACCTTGCAGTTTTTTTAACACAGCTACTTCCATTTTCAGAACTTGCTTTGGCTGCTGTGCTGACTCGACCTTCAGTGCAACATTCTCTCGAGTAAGTATGTCCATTGCATCGTAAATTTCTCCAAATCCTCCACCTCCAATCTTCTTTATCTGTAACAAATAAGACTCAATCTAGTGCACTATTTAAAAATTACAGAGTTTTTGTGTTACCTAATGTCAATTTTGAATGTTATCTAATTACTAAAAATATTTAGACTCTACTGCTATATTATATAAACTTATATTTTTTATTATGGCTGAGAATTAAATTAGGCAAAATAACAGAAATTCTAAAATAATTGTTTCAGAAAAAGCTCCCCGATAGCATTATTACAGTCAAGATACTAACATCCAGAATTTTCATGTTCCCCATCAGTTACAAAGCTAGAATTATGCAAAGTAGTAAGACCAGTAGAAAAATGTACTAAGGTTATCATCCATTTAAAATAAATCTTAGCCAATTATACACTGGAAATATAGTTTCCTATTTCATAATCAAATGCAAAAGATTGATTTTTCTTGATTGTTAAATAACTGGCACCAATTGCAAAAGGTATAATTCTAGAAACAGCTTTCATACCATAGAAACAAGAATATCTTTTCTAAAATGCCGCCTATTACTTTCAAGAACATGTAATACCTCTTTTTTTAGAAGAAACAATAGCATTAAAATAATTAATATAAAAATTAATATAAAACTACATGTAAAATTTTAATTAAAAGACTTTAGTTCATTAACAGATTAGAACTATCCCATCTGATCGACTAAATTCAGAAATCATTAAGAAAAATATTTTATTGATTTATTAAATTTCTTTTATTTAATATGATGTATAAAGGAGTCTCAAATGTTTGTTGTAAATGTAAAGGTCAGGTAGTCCTCAACTTATGACAATTGAGCCCAACGTTTCTGTTGTTAAGTGAGACGTTTGTTAAGTGAATTTTGCCCCATTTTACGACCTTTTTAGCCACAGTTGTTAAGTGAATCATTGCCATTGATAAGTTAGTAACATGGTTGTTAAGTGAATCTGGCTTCCCCATTGATTTTGCTTGTCAAAAGGTTGCAAAAGGGGATCACATGACCTTGAGACACAGCAATGGTGATAAATATGAACCAGTTGCCAAGCATCTGAATTTTGATTACATGACCATGGGAATGCTGCAAAGGTTATAACTGTGAAAAACAGTCATAAGTCACATTTTTCAGTGCCGTTGCAATTTTGAACAGTTGCTAAACTGTTTTAAGTCGAGGACTACCTGTACTTTCTATCATCTTTGTTGGACTTGTGACAAAGCAAAGAAATATTTGCGTAGATTTTTGTCTTAATTCAGAAGATTCTTAAAATGAACAAAAAAAAATGAAATATGAACTTTTCCTTTTAGAGCTATTGGATAAAGAACATTGTTGGAATTTTGTAATTATATATGTAGACAGTAGCAAGAATTTTCTATGTGAAAAAATAGAAAGAGAAGTCAATTCCCACAGTAGAAGAATGGATGGAAAAAGGGATGGAATCGATGGAGATGGGCAAAGCTACCTGTTTAATGAAAGAGAAGGAGTTACCCAGTTTTGTTTCCATATGGAAACCGCTTCTGGACTTTATGCTCAAAATAGAAAAAAGATGAAACTCTGATCTTGATGACTAAGTTAGATGTTGATGACTAAATTACTTTTGTAGTTATAGAAATGGTTTCTATCTACTAGAAATATAAAGCAAAAAGCTGAGTTTGCAACTGTACTTTGTATTCTACTACACCAAAGAGAGTCAGAAGTCACTGCTTTTCTTTTTCTTTCTACCTTGCATTCCTTTCCCCCTTTTTTATCTTTATTTCCATTTTACACTTTCTTCATTTGCATTTTATACCATACTAAACTTTCATAAAAACTTTAAAAACTAAAAATATGTAAATATGTTTGATTTTAAATTAACTATATTGGCTGTAGAATTCTCTGCTCTGGGATCTTTAAATTGGGGAGGGGGGAAGCAGATTACTTGCCTATTACCATTTACTGCTATCAGGTTGGCTGGCTAAGGGAGAACCCCATCTTGCTGCAATCCTGTGAAAACTCTCCAGATGTAGCATTCATTCCCCCGTGACACAAGTACTGAAAATTTCTCCATTTGGCTATGGTGCTCAGCAATCCTGTTATATACTCTATTGATAAGGGAAACAGATATTTCTCCACCAATATCATTAGTCAAAGCTAGGCATTTGTCCTCAGCTCCATTCCGTTAATAAGGAATGATAACTCCTTATGAGACTGCAGTTCTGGTACAGAATATTTTGGCAAGGGAGTTTCCATCCTATATTGTCAAATTATTCCTCTCACTGAAATTCAGAGTATCAGATTGGATGGGATTAACTACCATGGGGAAAATTGACTTTCCATACTTGGAATCATTATATGCAACTAGTTTCTGCTGGTGATCTAGATCTGCTCTGAAAGAATGAGCAAACTCTTGGCAGAATTCACTTCAAAACCATGCACCTAAAGGCACCTAAGCAGCAAACCGTGGGTGTTCATTATTCTTTTTATAGTGCGTGCTCTGATAATTAAGTCATACAGCTAAGCATATATCCACAAGGCACCCATCACCTGAGTAAATACTGTGATTGTTGGGGCCAGACCAAAGTGGATTGTTTTGAACTGGAACAAGTTCTTCCTGTACATAAATCTGAAGAATCTGTGATGGGAAGGCCTGATTACTTTGTATAAGCAAACTTCTGATAAACTAACTGGTATGATAGTTTCTGCTGTCAGTCACTCCATCCTGAAGAGTTGGTGCTAATGTACTTGAAGCAGTTTGATTGGCATACCGACCAATTTGGTGGTTCTCAGTTCTCCAAATGCCATACTAAGAGAGGAGATTCAGTTTCTGTGCTTGTTGCATCGTGGTCTTGAGTGCACTCCCACTGCCTTTTAACCTCTGCAATGACACTGGCCAGTGGAGGATAGTTGCTGATAGTTGGTGGTGATCTAGCATACTAGATGGTTGTTGCAATTGGGGCTACCCAATGCCTAATTAATCAGGAAAGAAGGTAGCCATTAAAGAGTCTAAACAGCTGGTGCCATCTGATGTTGACAGCTTGAAGCCAGCTCTGCTACTTGCAGAGGTTCTCTGTTGTACTTTGGTATTTTTGGAGAGTGATGCTCTCAGTCTTCCAATGTCATGAGGTCTTCAGTTGCAGGCTGCTTTTGGCATGATAATCCTTTGAGCTAGAGTCAGATCATATACTTTCTTCTATGAAGCTGGTAGTGAATCTTCTCTGCTTTCTAACTCTTTAATCCTTCTTTTGGGGGTACGAAACCATCTTTCTTATTCACTGGTTCACTTTTTTACTGTTTTAAGCGTGAGGTACTTTGTAAGACATCTCTTTTATAAGGCTAATGTATACAGCCCAGATGCGCTAGACAGGGCAATATCATGTAACACATATCACAGACCATATAGGGAAGAGTTCCCCCCACTGTTTACTGGCCAGTAAGCAATATAAAAAAGTAAACCAGTTAATTTAGCTAAACAAAATCAAATTAACCATTTCCTTGTAGCTTCTATTTTGGTGGCTAAAGCTGGAAGTGGCAAAGAAAATACAGAATTATTTTATTTTAATGAAACAGTAAAAAATATTTGGGGATTGGGTGAAAAAAGGATAACATTAAGCCTCTAGCAGAAGTAATGCAATTAAAAATAAAAGTGATGAAATTATTTGGGAGGAATCTAAAAGAAGGGAATACTGAAAAGAGTATTTTAGAGACATGAATAGAAATTTATAGTGATATCAAATAACTGAATTGCAATAAATGCACTAAATGTTAATGTTCAAGAGATGGCAACAATAAAATCACACATGCTGTTAAGAATTTCACAGATATAGATAGATTTAACATTTCATTGGATAACCAGAGAAATTTTAAAACACAGATGTGGTTTGTTTATTGTGCAGCTGCATGATTTCTTCAGAGTCTATGTCAAGACTATATTCATGCCTGACAATTGGAAGAATTGTTTCATTATTTACCAGTACAAAATCATCAGGATGGGTCAAAGTTGCTGTGGATGTCTTGACCGAGAGGGGAAAGTTGATAGAAAAAAACAAGCAAAGTTCAAGCTTTCCAAGGACTTCTCTTTGTGATCAAGTTACTGGCCATTCAACTGAGATAGCACATATTTTGGTGCCAATGCCAAAGAATCAATCCCTTACGTTGGTGTCAGTCTTTTTTTTTTTTTTTTTTGAGCTGACAGCAGTATTTAATACACTTGACCATTTAGAAGCAGCTACTGACATTATGATCCCTTTATATCACTGACTGAGTACTTTTTCCCCCCTTCCTTCTCATTGTTTTGCAATGTTGCACAGTAGATTTTTAGTCTTGGGAATTTCTCATTACATTTATCCCTCAGAGATCAGTCCTAGAACTTATTTTGTTCATCCTTCATACTCTTCCCTTGAGTATTCAGATTCATATTCAAGTCTTTTATTATCATTATTATGATGTTTATACTAAGTCTATCAATCTTTTGTGACCCTTGATAAACTATGCATAGTCAGCCATGACAGACTGTCTTGTAATTGTTTTATGTTGGATGTCTTCCCATTACCTCAGATTGAATATAACCAAGATGCACATCATTATGTTTTGGCTCTTTTGTCCTTTCCAACAGCAACTGTATCGTCAGCTGTTTTCCTCAGGGCTCCCAAACTACCTCAGTTCCTTTCATTCAGTCTCAGACTCTGATGATGACTTGACATTCTTTCACTTATTAATTTTACACTAAGAATAAGTAATTTTCATTTGATGAATATATGTAGGATCCAGGAGTTCTGACAAAAGATACTGCATTTTATTGAATATACTTTAGCTGTGTCATTGCTAATTACTAAAATATTCTTCTGGCAGATATTTCTCATTCCTCTCTCTGCCTCCTGATTGTAGTGCAGAAAAATCTCGTTTGGGCTGTTCTGGATATGCCACCCTATTCTCATGTCTTATTATACCACAAAATGCTAAAATAAAGGAGAGAAATAGAAAGCAATACATGGAAATGTTGTGTGGAAATGGTAGAATTAAAAATAGAAAAATAAGGAGAGGATTAGCCCAAAAAGTTGTTATAAACTAGAGTTACCTATATACTATATCTTCTTTTACCTAATACCTTTATTTGGTTTATAATTTCTTACTCCTTTTCTAAGCTTTGTATAACACTACTTACTCTAAAAGAGAATAGCCTGTTGTGTAGATACATTTGAAATCATTTTCTATCACACATAAAAAAATCTCTTACCCAAACAGGACCACAAGCACCCATCATTTTCTCTCAAAAATACCTATTGCACTTTTCCCTCTAAATATTCCTATCTCAGACACACCCAGATCCATTCAGTAAAATACATGCTCCTCCTTCTTCCATTAATTTCTCTGCACTCATTTATCCCCTGCTGGATTTTTCAGCTTCCTCCTATGAATGTGTGTATATGCATGTGACAGAGACAAAGAGAGAAAGCGGAAGGGAGGGAGGGAAGGAGGGAAAGGGAGAAATTATGTATGTACATTAACTAAAAAAAACCCCAAGAAACCTCTAAAAACATCAAGGAGATTGTGTTCAGACAGTTAATCCAAACATAAAAGGGGAAAAGAGGTTAACTTGGACTAGCAAAGAATGCTTGGAAAATTGCACCAAACTACTGTAGCCTAATAAAGATAGAGCTATCATTATGCAGAGCATTTTTAAAATACCATATAAGGATAATAGAAAAGGAAGAATAGTGAAGTTTTCAACTACACTAGAACCCAGGAAAAGAGCAGGGGCAGAAGGCTGACTGATAATGCTGCTAACCAGCTGTAACATATAGGAATCTGTTCCTGAAAAGCATCGATAAAATTATCATCTTTTCATTATTGCTTTGCAGCCATCATATTAGGTAAGCCATAAGCTGATTATTTATTTATCATGCTGCTCAAGACCATATTTAAGAAGGGTGTGATGCACAATCTTCTCCTGTCTCGCAGTTTATAGCTATGTCTGCTCTCTTAAATTATATATATAACATTTTGATTTCTTCTTATTTTATTGAATGTTATATAATCAGACATCTGAAAAAAATCAATAAAACTATTTCATACTTACCACTTTCCATCTTTCTTTTACCAATATCCCCACAGTAAGAATATCTGGCTGTTCCCCTCCTCCACTCATTGCAATCTCTGGGGTGGCACAGCTGCTATGCAAAGCCTATGTCAGTAGAGACCATCAAGTTCCCAGAAGTGGCTTCCATTTAAGCAGAGTCTATAGAAACAAAACAGCTGTATATGAAACCAGGCTAATAAAATTATGGCCAAAAAAGAAACCTTCTTAATCTTATTTTAACTAAGTTATTTTCCAATTTCACAATGTTGAACTGAAAGATAGACAGTAAATTTCAATAGTAATTAAGTTGCAGAAACAAAATACCTTAATATATTTGATTATGAATGTGAGGGCAACTAACAGCTTTTTGTCCTTTGTGTGTTCTAAAGAATATTTAAAATAAAAAGGTTCTGCAAAAGAATAAAACCTCACACATTTTGTAGAAAGATTGAAGAAAAGTCATAAAAAATAAACACCAGGATGTTTCTGAATGCACTGTTTTACATGCATCAACTCAACAATTCTTGACCTACGTCTAGTATTTCAGTACTAGCTCCATATTACAAGCAGAAACCTTAATTGAGAACAATGACTTTGCTTTACATTAGAAATATAACATTTTTGTTCATTACCATAACACATTACATAGTAGCTTATTTCCTTCCCCCCCCCCAAAATAACCCTACACCAACAATCATAGAATAGGGCAACAAAGCAAATACAAAGGAAAATATTGCTACTCAAATTTACAAAACGGTGAGCCAAATGAGGTATGAGACAAGGGTGCACTCTAGTTCCCCTCCTTTTTATTCTATTCATAAACAAATTGAACAATCAATCTCTCCATCTACCTACCAAAACAGGCACATTGGCCTAAGCAAGCACTTTATACACTTCCTGAGTACTATGAAAAGCTGCTAGAAATTAACTGCTCAAAAACCAAAGTCATGCTATTTGCCAAGAGACCTAAGACACATATCTGATGGCTAAACAGAACAATCAAGACTTTCAAATACCTAGGCGTCATTTTTTCATGCCACCAGCAACTACAAATCCTATACCAGTTATGTCATCTTAAACATAGAGAAAACAGCTTCAGCTTTACAATCCTTCCATTTCCCTGAAGGAATTCAGCACATATCCATAGAGCTCAAAGCCTTCTCAGCCAAAGATCTGAGCTCAGTTCCTCTTGGGAGACCAGTTGGGCCATTACATTACTCTGCTCAAAAGAGTTACTCTAAGTCCTCCGCTGCATTTCATTGTAGCCTACTCAAAATAGAAACTTCCACCTGGATTCACATTCTTTCATATTGTCTTAAGCTTCTTTTTTTTCCAGCCAGCTTGATCCCTTTAATTATGACTGATAGCTCCCAATTTCCCTGGCAGGAAATACATGAAAAATTAAAATCCTATGGCTTCTCATGTGCATCCAATCATCCTGTAGGGCTACAAACATGCACTACCCAATCTTGAACAAAGTGCCATTGACTTAGAGCTACAATCATGTTGGTCACTTCTGAAGTAAGCATATAAACTTAATAAATAAATACCAGAACATCCCTTTGGAGCTGAGATTGTGCCCATGTAGTGAACATGCAATTGAAATACTGGATCATGTTATATTGTACTGCTCTCTCTATGCTGATGCTCTCTCACCAAGAATTATTATTTTCACTCATCATCAAACACTCTGGTCACACTAAGTCCTTCTACCTTAAATTGTAGAATCAGCTCAATCTGATTCTATTTTGATGATTGCGGCCAAATACTGTTTCATAGTTTGTATAATATACCATAATTTTTCTTCAAACACCTCCTAGGTATTTTCCGTTTGAAAACATTTCATATGCAACTGTCCATTTAGTTACTACTTTATAATAATGTATTATGTCCTTACCATCAATTGATTCTTATTTCTATCTTGTTTTCGTTATGACTGCCAGGGACTTTTTAACAATATAAATTGTCACTATAATTGGCCTCTAATTTTTAGTTTTGAAACCATAATCACTCCTTATGTATTATTTTTCTTTATACACAACATCACTGTATTTTCTGTAGATAGAATATTAATATTAATTACATCTTTCCCATGGATTTTAGCATTATAATGGTGCAACATTTCCGGTCAGTAAATTATTTTATTATTCTAAATAATCAATTAATTGTCTTATATAAATTGTATAATGCCTTACTATATTAATGTTTATACTCATAATTCTTAAATTTACAACTTCTTTCCTCAAGGATTTGTTTTGCTGCTCAATGACCGAAATAAAAATGACTAATGATTACAAGGTGATCAGCACTTTTGTAAGCCAATACAATTAAAATGCATCATACTTGAATCCTAAAGGTGCTCTCCAAGAAGATCAGACATAAAATGTAGACCCCCCCCCACAATGTTGCTAGTTCAAAAGGTTAAGTTTATATTTTTCGATGAATGTTGCATTACCGTCCTATGGGAAGCATGCCAGAGACTGCAGTTCAGTAAATGAATGAAGTCAGAAAAAGTGGGCATAGTTAGGACAAAGCTTACATTTAATTAAATTCAATTACAGAGAAAGTGATTATTATGATATATTCCCTTATAAAAATAATTATAAGAATAATGAACACAATGTACAGTATCTAAAAAGAAATATGCTAGCATTTTATTTCATAAGGAATCTTCCAGTCAAAAATTTTACAGCCTCACAAATGTTTATTTTTTTCTATAAGCATATAATCATGTAAAGTACATTTCACTACAGGATCTCTGCTTAGAATATAACAAAATACTAAATTGTAAGGATGCCAAATGTGGGCTGAAAAAATCCAGACAAATGCTAGATAACACCAAAGAGCCGCCTATATCTTTTTGTTGCCATCTAACAACAGGCTCTTGTAACTCAGATTGGCTAACCCTACTGAACTGTACAAAACCTGTTAATGATATTTTAGTTAGAAATGTTTCTGTTGCAGTTGTTCAAAGAGTTAAAGTATACAAATACTCAGTGTTCCCCAAATATTAGAAAAAAAAAACTACTAAGGCACTGACAAAAATTGAAAGAGCACAACATACATATCATAATGTGCAGCTACAGAGAGAACAAAGCAGTAATAAAGCATAATGACTAAGATTCCAAGGTATGAACTAGGGAGTCTCTTATTAAAGCTTAACTTAATAATTCATTTGATGAAATCAGACACTGATTCAGTCCAGACATCATGCCAGTTATTTGTTATCATGAAAATAAGGGTGCTAACTCTACCCGTCTTTCTGATCTTTTCCCGCACAAGTGAATTTCTGTGGGGAAAAAAACCTATTACCAATACATGCAAAACCTGAAAATATGTCAAGTACAAAACTAATTAAGAATTAGTTAATCCCTGTCCAACAGAGTTTGAAAACAGTTCAGGTCATAACTTTGCTTCTGTATACTTATACAGATACTGCAGCTAAATAGAGTTTATATACTAACAGTGTCCATGTTATTTATATTTTTATTACCATAAGATGTACGGTATACATTAGTCTCATAACAGTTTAGTGTGAAATACACGATATTAAATCAATAATTAAAAATTAAATAATTAAGTAGATAGTATATTTTAAATCTCTTTTAATGCAAATAGATCCTGTATTTAGCAATTAGTACATTTCAGAGAATTGTTACAACTGTACAGAGCACTCAAATTATGGGGAAATGCAAATTTAGCCATGATTAGACATACTTAATTACATAAGGATTATTGTAACAATGTTTGCATAACCTGCTGAGATAAACCCTTAGGTAAAAAGAGCATGTGAATGCTATTTTTAATTCCTGAGGAGCCACATTTTATGCAAGGATTCAGACTCACTGTGCAGAACATATCCTCTTAATGCAGACATTACCTTGGTTTTGCTTTCTGGTTACAATGTCTGCATTAAAGGGAATCAAGGTGGCATCTATTCACTTGATATAAATCTTGTGTAAAACAGTGTGTTAAAACAACAGTCTCATGTTTTTGTTGCCTTAAATTTCTCTCAAATGTCTATGTTTAGAAATTGTTTCAAAATACTGAAATATTTTGACTGGAAATGATTTTAGGTAATATTATTCCTCTTTTATTGATTCTATTTTTATTTGAGCCCAAATCAATTATGAGTTTATCATATTTATATCTTTGAAATCTTTATTCCTTCCACATAAGCACATTTCTTCATGAATAACAAAGGAGAAGACTTTATACATTTTATAGACATTTCAAATACAGTTGATGGGAACATAGAAAAGGGTTCTTCATAGTGTATATTCACAAATAATCTTTGTAAGACTTTTTTCCCCCACCTTAACAGTTTTCTATGAAAAGATGAAAGAAGCAAATTACAATAGCAGATAACAACATCTGGCTCTCCCTAAAATTCCATGACTGAAGTAGAGTAGTGGCAGAAATAATTCTCTTTTGAGAACCACCCATAGCTTTGAATAGAGTTCAAAGGAAGCCTTGCCCATTGAAAGCCCCTGATTCTTCTCTGGTGAGATTTTACCATCTGAAGATCTTTTTGTTGCTACAGTGTCTGAGTTATCTATTTCTGGCTTTCATGCTATCTTGAATATTTTTTGTTCCTAATCAAAGGAATATTATAGTTCAGTACTATAGGAAAACACAAAATTAAAAACAATTGCTTCTGGAAATAGAACAAAGTGTTTTAAATAAACAAAGATACTAATTTACAATCTAAACTAATCATATATTACAGTACCAGCCATCAGGCCTACTTCCTTTTCAAATGAAGGAGTGTAACAATATAGCAGCATATATGTTAAAAGTACGGATAATCCTTAAATACATTACTCTAGCAACTAGCAATATTTTAACACCTATTGAAATAACTTCAGATTTTGATATAGTCTCTCAGTGATCCTAAAACTCTCCTTGCAAATGAATGCAGTTGCTAACAATTATTCAAACATGAACATGTTCATGGCATTTCCAGGTGAAGATAATAAGGAACACTGCCATCTTCATGGGCAATTCCCAAATAATCCAAATCATTCATTTCTAGCAATGTCTTATTAATGTAGATACACACACACACTAATCCAGTGGTTCTCAACCTTTTTAATGCCGCGACCCCAACCGATCGTAAGTCGAGGACTACCCAACTGGTTGTAAGTTGAGGACTACCC